TGGGAGGGCCCGGACCTCCCGCGGAAGGACGTTCTCCGAGGGACCCAGCAGGCTCCTGCTTTCCCGGTGGAGGCCGGTGAGCGACCAGGCGGGCAGCCGCCGCCCCGGGGCCTCTGTTGCATTTTCTCTGAAGGCTGCTGGGCGGCCGCGGCCGGTGGCGCCGGGTCCTCCATCAGGAAAGCGCCTCGGCCCCCCTCTCCGCCCAGCGCACTGACCGGTCTCAGTAAACGCTGGGCACCAACCGTCGCAGGAAAACGCAGGGCCGCTGGTGCAGCGCCGGGCACCTGGGCCAGGGACGCGAAGGCAGCCGCTCCGAGCCCCTCATGCCTGCCGGCCCAGGGCGAGGAAGGAGGAAGCCTGAAGTTCTGGCCACGTCCGAGCGGGGCTGCGGTGCCGGGACTGACAGCATCCAGTCGCTTCGCCGCGTCTGGCTTGCGCAGCACACACGGGCGCCCGGGGCACAGAGCAGCCGAGCCGACCCGCCCAGGCTGACAAAGCTGCGACGACAGACGCTAACGAAAACGCCAGCTGTGGCCCAGAGGCCTCGGCGGCTCTAAAAACAACACTTCCGGTTGGGTTAGAAATGTCCACAGACATAACATCCACGGGCAGGGAAACCTTTTCCTTTCAGGGACGACAATGTAATTTCTAAGAAAATCGCATCGCAGGTGATGAATTGGTGAGCATGCTGACCGGCTGGACCTGGGAACTGAAGAGAGAAGTTCGTGGCCACGGTGATACCTTCCCACGTAGGAGAGCTGGGTTCAAGTTCTGAATACGTCACAAATGGGTTGTAACACTTGGGACAAATCAGTTTTACTTTTCTAGGCCGCGTGAGTTCTAACTGGAAAGGGTCCCGTGAAACAAAACGGTCCCGGCGCGGGATCCGGAGGGTAAGGAACTGTCGCCTGGAGACAGGACATGTCTTGTTGATTAATCAGGGGTCATCCAGGAAGACAGAGACCTCTCTGGGTCTTTGAGACAACACAGAGGGGATTTAATACAAACAGCTGGTTATACTGGTGCTGGCAAAGCTGAGAAGCCAAACACAGCACAGGGCAGGGCGGAGGGCGACCCAGACAGGAGCCCCGGCAGGAAGACGCCACCACCTCGAGGCTGCAGGGCGAGGCAGCTCCCAGAAACTCCTGGGAGCTGGACCACAGAGGGGGGGCCCTGGGGAGGGAGCTGGGAGAAGGAGCCCCCGAGGGAGATGCCACAGCAAGCAGAGGGACACTGCGTAGAACTACACGGCTCCCCCTCCTGTTCCTCTTTCCCAGCCGTGTCTCCTGGCACGTGGCCCGAAGAGCCTGGAAGCAGCTGGCAAGGGAGGCTGGGAAGCGTGGCTCCCGGGGATACCGGGCAGAGCAGCTGGCAGACGACCAGATCGCAGAGCGAACGGGCCGGTGACGCTTATTTCATCACCCTTAAAGCAAACGTCGTGTGGTCAGTGCCCGAGGCACCTGGCCGGCCACAGTGAAACGTGGCCGGTGTGCGCGTCTATAGTGCTGTGTTCAAGTCGCCGCATCCACGCATTTTGTCTGAACGGCAACCCAG